AGATGAGCACCTAAAAATCTGAAACTTTGTGGAATTATAGTTTGTATTAAAGTCTCTTACATATGTTAAAACAATTCTTGTCCCATGCTATCTCAATATTTTTTTAAAAATTCCATGTCAATTATCACTCAATGAGTTAAACGGTACCCCTTCGATTTTGCTGAAATTTGGTTTATTATGGGTGGAAAAGCTGATATTTCTAATTTTAGCTTGATCTGACTAACAGTTCCTGAGGTACGGTCCACCCAATTTTGGGGATTTCGGCCAAAATGGGCATGGCCACCATTACTCAAATGACTATAACCCAGTAACCGATAAGTCAAAATAAGTATTTCTGGAATGGGAATTCGACAAGGATTCTATATCTACACTTATATTTGACACCAGGCGTGTTTTAAAGAGTGAAGACCTTTTGACTTTGAATATGACCATGTGACCTTGAGATCAACTTTCATGAAAAATTAGCTCAACATGTTTTCTAACAATGTCAAACAGTTGGAGATACAATTTCTTTTATAAATTTGCAAAATCAACTTATATATTCACACTTAACTGAAAATAAGTGACATTGCACTTGAAGTTAATAACGGAAATTATCGAACTATAGAAGATATGGAGCTAGAAGCAGCATTGAGGTTTTTACCTAGTATCATAAAATGTTTATTGAGCAATATTTTAGTCGGTGATGACACAAATAGGAAAATGGCATCTATTGGTCACGCTCTGGTCCAGGCTTCTAGACCAAGATCTTTAATTGCACCATTACAGTTTGGGTTTGGAATACAAATGCATCATCATTTTGCATCTCGGTTTTTACTGGACTCTTTGCATAATCACAGATTTTGTTCATCGTATACGCTTTTCCGACGTGGTTTCCCCTTGTCAGTGGTGCTGAACGGAGGGCCTGACAAGGACAGCTGTCTAGTCCTTTGGATGAGACGAAAAACCGAGGTCCGTGTATACATTAAAATGCACGAAAAAAGATCCCTTGGCAGTTGGAATTCGATATAAGAGAAGGCGATAGTGCCGCTGCCCGGGCAAAATTTCCCTCATAGCACACTGTATGGCGTATGCCCGTCTTCATTAGCCCAGTATAGGAGCAGAACAGTAGGACGTTAAACCCCATTTCATTTCATTTCATCGTATACGCAAGTTAAGGATTATGAAAAGTGCGCAGCTGCAGCTAGTATTGATATCAATGGGTGGATTCCTGGAAGATTCAAACAATGGATTGGGGATAATGTTGATCACAACCCTGACACCTTGGATGGAAAAAAGAGTATTCATATTATGGGTCTGATAAAGTCTGTAAAGTTGAAGCTGTAAGATCGGTTGCCAAATCGAAAGTAACCTATGATGAAATCTCTAGGCTCGGTAAAATCGATATCAAATTCTATGAACCTAAAGAAGAACGGTTCTCAAATGTGGTGTATAAAACCATTCGTGGACCTGTTTACGAAATGTGAGAAGTAACGAATAATCTATGACAATTGTGTAGCATTACTCATTGACACGTTCAGGAGTATTAATAAGCAAGTTGATTGAAGATACATTATGCAAGAGCTAAATCTGTCTATTGCAGGTCTTTCTTAAGGCCTGAAACGTTATCTAAATTATTAATTAGACATTAATTAACCTATCCAGACCATAATCAACTCTACATGGCATCGCTAGCCTGCGATCTTTAGTGAATTATGAGCCGATTTACTGCATAACTCTCCATCACGATTTAACGATTAAATGGATAATCGAGACTATGCTGTTTATCGTACTGACTATAGTAATGATGATCGAGGCTAAGCGGAAATTTCAATCGCTTAGTTCTCAGTTCATAGTGGATCAATTTGAATGAAATTTTCAGCAAATTGCCTTTATATTATCTAGTTTTTAACTTTTATAGTGAGAACTGCTAACTCGTTATTGAATCTCCCATAATGTATCTTTGATTTATATTAATGCCGCTACACGCTCATGATTAACACTCAAAATAAATTGGCTAATCCAAGATAAATATGATTAGAATTTTAATATTTTTTTTCGCCACTTCTCTTTTCGCCCCCAAACTATATCACCAAAATCAAGATTTAATCGCCACTTTAATTTTTTTAATCGCTAATTGCGACCAACAGCGTGAGCCCTGATCATTCGATTTTATAAGAAATTTACATGCATTATTTAAATTAGTAAAACAAAGAAGCCCATGGAATTTCAGAAATTTCCTTTAATTATTTCTACAGTTATGGCCCTTGTTTCACTTTGTTAAACCTTGTGAATTCTCTAATGACAAGGGTTATCTTTTGATCTGTATGAAATTGATATCAGTGTCTTGTAAATGCTCCCATTACAGAAAAAAAGAATAAATATGTGACAACCCTTGTCGACTGCTCAGAAAATTTAGCTGCTGTGGATATATGCTTTGTTGTCTAGCTAGTAACCCATCTTTAAGTACAGTAATATATTATCTTCAAGGTTTGAAATTTCAGAGACAAAACTTACAGAGGCATATTAGAAAGGATGCATATCTGGGAAATATCATTTCAGAATTTTGCTAATAACTAATATCAATATTTAGGCTTTTTGTCTGTAAGACTATTGTTTTTACTAAAATTATTATTATTATTATTTTTTTTTTTTTTCCGTGGGAGCCTATTTCTCCATGATCGAAAACAGATATCGATCTGGAACAAAATTTTCTATCGGGAAACCATGTGGTGGCTAATAGATAAAACAATTTTGAAACTTCTGCGCATACCGGAAGTAACCGAATTTTGTACTTTTTTCCGGAATTGACAATCGGCCGTGGTTTTGTCAATTCTTTACCTATTTTCAAACAAATGACGTTTTCGGAAACCCCGAATCTTTTCCGAGATAATGGCTATCTCACATTTTTCAATTTCGAACACTCATCTATGGCTTTTGTCGTTCAAATTTTGAAAATACGTTGTTTACGAGGGAATTTTTGTAATTCTGCAAAATTTTCAAATTTGACCTACATTTTGGGATACCTAAAGTCTATCCGATTCCAATAATATAAGTTTCATTCAGAGTTATCGCCCTTTATTTTTCGATTTTTTTCAAATTTTCTGCCCATTTTATAACCCTTATATTTTTTTGAAAGCTTCAATTGATGTTTCGGAAACTACTGGAACATAAAGCTATATAGTCAGACGGTTGGTAAAGCAATTTCAACAACGATCCGGAAACCGGAAGTAGTCGAAATAATGATAGATATTTCGAAAAAAAAAGAAAAAAATGGTTGTGTTGGAAAAAACCTCGATTTCTCCGCCCAATATTAATGGATTAAACGAATTAAGCTTTCGTTGAGTGGCCCGAGGAATGGACTGTCGTATGATGCCCAATTTATACGGATACTATGACCAAGCAGCAAAATATGACAAGCTGAAAATCAAGTATTTTCTGATTTGGAGCGTTTTTGGACGCCTTTATCTCAAAAACTTAACCTACAATTTTTTTTTAACTTTCTCTATCGAGACTCCATTCAATAGTCTTGTGCATGAAACCATCCAATAACACTTTGAAATGTCTGGAAGAGGATAAAAAAAGGGACTGAAAATCGAAAAAAGTCGAAAATTCGTGAAATTTTGGAAAATGCTATATTATTTTATTATTTAATCAGATTTTTACGAAAAGGTTACACATTCAGATAGCTGACCTAATTACGATTCTAACGATGTAAAATATGTATTGAGTTATTGAAATTTAATTTTCGATATTTTGACATTTTTTAATTTTTGGCACTTTTGAACATAGGATTTCTCAGGGCCATTTTATCTGATCAGATAATGTAATATATCATTACAGAGCCCTGTGGCTATCTAATTGCCCAAATTGGTTATTAAAACTATCCCAACATTAATATCCATACCGGACGTATTCAAAAAATGAAGAAAAAGGTTACAAAAAATTAGCGCTCTTGCGAAAAACTTGATTTCTCCATCAGATCTTAGTGGACCAAAGAACTAAAGTGGTTCTGGATAGCCCCATTAATGGACTATCATACGACATCTAAATGATACGATTTAGATGGCTAGAAAATAAATTATGGTACGCCGAAAATCTAGTATTTTCTGTTTTGGAGCATTTTGAGAGGCCTTTTTCTCAAACACAACAACTACGTTTCTTCTTAAACTTTTTTTTACTCAGTGACAAGTAAATGGTAAGAATTTGCGGGTTAGGCAATATATAATGGAGCGCTGAAAATCTATTATTTTCCTTTTTGGAGCCTATTCAGAAGCTTTTATTTCGAAAACTTCTCTTATTTCCTTTCTTAAATTCTGTTACTTAGAGTCCTAATGGTGGTCTATGGTGTGAATCCAAATTTAAAAGCCTCAATATAGTATAAATGGTCTAAAAGGGCCACAATCTTTGAAAAACGTCGAAAAATCGTTATATCTATAAATCTGCTTCTAATGGTATAAGGGAGGTAAAACTGTCCAATGGATCTTTCTGAAACTTCTGGTACATGAAGTCAAGTTCCCATACCACTTGTTAAATCTATCCCGATAATGATCCGTAAACAGGAAGTAGTCAAAAAAATATTCGATATTTAAAAGAAAAAAGACTGTAAAAATATCGGTGCTCTTGCAACAATCAAGATTTCATCGTCGGGTGGGACCGGATCAAAACATCTAAAGTATTGTTTGGTAGCTAGATAAATGGGCTATTGTATGACACACTTCCTGTCTGATTCCTGAAAGCCGGTTCAGTGCTGCTTGCCGGTCTAGTTTAGGATTATTTTCCAGAATGATAATTAAAAAAAAAGAATTTTCCTAAAAAATATTCCGGCCAGATGTGCACAAATATTGTAGTTAAAAAGTTAAGTTCATAAGACAAAGAAGTCAGATGATCGGTGAATTGTTCCCTTTTAAATAGATGCTGTGTGTTTATGTTTCATTGCCTGACAACCTATCGTTACTGACCAAACTATCCAAGGTTATCATCAAAATGTTAAAATTTATTACTTATTTTACTGTCTGTAGTCTGCCAACAAAGCCACAATTCCTAAAGAACCAATTCATAGAATAACAAATAATCATCCCAGAACTCACGATTCACCATTCTATGGACCACAACCAGTTAAACCACTAGCCCGACTTATTATAACTAAAGACAAGGAATGGTGTAGTGGGGATGATGGTAAACCCGCTTCAGCAGAATTATCTCCTTCTACTGATGAACTGGTTAGCAAAATGAAGAAAAAGATGATGATGAAAAAGAAATTTGGTAAGTTTGAAGCCATATTTCGAGCTGATTGTTATACCCCAAGTTATCATGTAGTCAGGCCTGCAGCCAAAATTTCTAGCGTGAAGTTCCGCTACATGGTCCTCCCAAACAAACTAACTATACATTTTTGGAAAGCTTTTAACGCCAGGAACACAAATCCAGAGAGTTCCAAGCAAAAAGTCTGCACTAACTCGATTGAGGGCCAGAGGAAAATTGTGATAATTGTCAAGTAAATGCTATATTTATACTAATAATTGTGAAGTTGACATAAAATTAAATATTGGCCAAAACACCTGATGCCTTCATCCTATGCAAAGAATATGCTGTTGGTTAAATTTTGATTTAAAGCAAAATGCAGAAAACATAATGGACAAGGAAACATTCAGAATTTCGGAAATCAATTTATGGTAAAAGGAGTTATTTCCCTTTATGGAAAATATCAATAATTATTGATAACAGTAAAGGGATTTAACTACAGACAAGGGCCTATATAAGTTCAATCTTTTTTTTTTCAGATAGAATTTGAAGCTAAAGGTCTAACAAATATTTAACTGAAACATAGCATATACAGATATTTAGTTTTCTCACTAAAATAGATATGGCCAAAACTAAATAATACTGTAATAGGAATGACAACATTGTAATGAAGAAAAAAGAAATCAAATGGAATTTAATGTCTTACTGTTCTCCATCAACCCGTATAATGAAGATGGGCTTACGTCATACATTATTGTTTGAGTGCCGGGGGGGGGGGGGGGGGGGGGGCATTGTACGTGTACAACTAGTATGTTTCCCCTTGTCTGTGGCTCTCTAATTAGGAGGTCTGGGGTTTGATTGATGTCTTGACCTAAACAGTTCCCCAAACTTTCCAGCGTTGTTTCCCCTTGTCAGTGGTGCAGGGAGGGGGGGGGGCTGTGATGGGCAGCGTCCAGTTATTCGAATGGAATGTAAAACTGACGTGCACGTAAAAGAACTTTACATTCGAAATAAAGAGTAGACCGTAATGTATGGCGGGCGTATGTACATCTTCATTATGACAGTTGATTTTTTTTCTCTCTTCATTACAATTGCCACTCACTTACAGTATTATTTAGGTTTTGACATATATCTATTTTAGTGAGAAAATTACATATAGATGCTTTGTTTGAATTCAAATATTTGTTAGGAATTTAGCCCCAAATCTAATCTGAACTAAAAGTTTACATATATATATTTGTAGAAATACTGTTTTGGGAGAGCTTATATGCCCGCCCACATGTATTTCAGTTTTTCGGGCACAAGCTTCAGAGAATGGAGAAAGCGATCATATCTCATGGAAATATAACTGTATATTTGTGTAATTAATTCAAAATAAACAACCATCACAGCTTTGTGGAAAATTCATTTTAGTTAATGATTGATTTATTCAAAAAGTTTGGGTGACAAATTTTTCAGGCAGATAGGCTCAAACCCCCACCCCCACCCCAACTGAGATTAGCCCCCTTAATCTGTGTAAGTGTAGTAAATGTGAAAAAGAAACAGAACTTTCTTGCATGTTTATACATGTAGTGACTGTTACCAATTGCAAACAGTTGACAGAAAGGGAGATAACTCTCTATTACCGTTGATGGATTTCCAAAATTCTGTATGTTCCCTTGTCCATTATATTTTCTGCATTTTTATACGCCCACATGGAAATGTGGTCGTATACTGCCATCGCCCCCGTCCGTCGGTCTGTCCGTCCATCGTCCACAATTTCTTGTGAACACTCTACAGACTACATTTATCATCTGATTGTTTTGAAATTGATATATGTTGTTTGCATTAGTGAGATGAAGAAGCCTATTTAATTTCAAGAACTTCCGTTAATTTCTTCTGGAGTTATGGCCCTTGTTTCACTTTGTTGCACCTTGTGAACGACAAAAGTTATCAACCGATCTGTATGAAATTTATATGCATCATTTAAATTAGTAAAACAAAGAAGCCTATTGAATTTCAGCGATTTCCGTTAATTACATCTAGAGTTATGGCCCTTGTTTCACTTTGTTGAATCTTGTGAACGCTCTAATGACAAAAGTTATCAACCGATCTGTATGAAATTGATATGCATCATGTAAATAAGTGAAATGAAGAATCCTACTGAATTTCAGCAATTTCCGTTAATTTCCTCTGGAGTTATGGCCCTTGTTTCACTTTGTTGCACCTTGTGAACGCTCTAATGACAAAAGTTATCAACCGATCTGTATGAAATGTATATGCATCATTTAAATTAGTAAAACAAAGAGGCCTATTGAATTTCAGCGATTTCCATTAATTACATCTAGAGTTATGGCCCTTGTTTCACTTTGTTGAATCTTGTGAACGCTCTAATGACAAAAGTTATTATCCGATCTGTATGAAATTTATATACATCATTTAAATTAGTAAAACGAACAAGCCTATGGAGTTTCAGCAAATTTTCGTTAATTACATCTAGAGTTATGGCCCTTGTTTCACTTTGTTGAATCTTGTGAACGCTTGAACAACAAAAGTTATCACCTTATCTGTATGAAATTCATATGCATCATTTAAATTAGTGAAATGAAGAAGCCTATTGAATGTCAGCAATTTCTGTCAATTACGTCTAGAGTTATGACCCTTGATTTACTTTGTTGAACTTTGTGAATGTTCGAACGACAAAAGTTATCATCCAATCTGTATGAAATTTATATGCATTATTTGAATTAGTAAAACAAAAAAGCCTGTCGAATTGCAACAATTTCTGTAGATTACTTCCAGAATTACAGCCCTTGTTTTAGTTTTTAGAACCTTGTGAACAATCAAACGCCGAAAATTATAATGTCATCTGCATGAAATTGTCTATTAAATCCCCCTAATTACCTACAAAAGAATAAATATGTGACAACCCTTGTCGACTGCTCGGACGATTTAGCTGCTGTGGGCGTATGTTTTGTTGCCTGGCAACCTATCTTGATTTAAATCAAAATTTAACCAATAGCATATTCTTTGCCTTGGATGAAGGCATCGGGTGTTTTCGCCAATATTTAATTTTATGTCAACTTCACAATTATTAGTATAAATATAGCATTTATTTGACAATTGTCACAATTTTCATCTGGCCCTAAATCGAGTTAGTGCAGACTTTTTGCTTGGAGCTCTCTGGATTTGTGTTCCTGGCGTTCAAAGCTTACCAAAAATGTATAGTTTGTTTATTTGGGAGGACCATGTAGCGGAATTGTGTTTCTAAGCAAGCTAGAAATTTTGGCTGCAGGCCTGCCTATCCATGTTTACATCTGTTTCTGCAGCAGAATTCATAATCAGATTGAAACAAATTAACACAACTTGTGGGAGGGTAATGAAACTTGGTGTATAGTTCGATCTTGGTAATTTCTGCTTAGACGAAGTGTAGATAAGCAGTTAGAGTGCTTGATGCTTTATAAAAAGATAAATGGTTGATTAGTTGGTCATCTATTTGTTTTGTATTTGCTGAAGATGCTATTGAAATTAACAAGAAGTCATGGCTAAGATATAATAATATTTGATAAATTCATATACTAATTAATCATTAGTACTGCTACATAACACATGAAGTGATGTGGTTATCAAAGCTAAGTTATGTTGTTGACTGATATTAATTTTCATGTTGACGTAGATTGTCGTCGCCCCTGTCCGTCCATCCGGACGTTGATCCACAATTTGTTTGTGGACACTCAACAGGTCACAATTTTTATTCGATTTTGACGAAACTTAAAATATAGGTCTATCTCCCAAAGATCTCGGTTTCTTTCAATATTGGCATATATTGCACCATAACTTCATGGATTATGGCCCCTGATTGTACGAAAAATCATGTTTTTAGCTTGTGGACACTCTAGAGGTCACAATTTTTATCTGATTTTGATAAAACTTGAAATGCATGTTTATAACCCAAAGATCTTGGTTTCTTTCGACATTTGCTCATATCGAATCGTAACTTCCTTAATTATGGCCCCTGATTGTACGAAAAATCGCGTTTTTAGCTTGTGGTCCCTCTAGAGGTCACAATTATTATCCAATTTAAAAAAACATCACCGTTACACTGTAATGACGCCTGAGTTTGAATTTCGTGAAAATTGGACCCAAACTGCCGGACAAAATATCCGCCCTGCGTACGCAAATAGTGTAAAAATATGGTATCTCAAGGTTGTGAAACCTCTAGAGGTCATAATTTTGATCCGATTTTCATGAAACTTGAAATGCATGTTTATAACCCAACGATCTGGGTTCCTTTCAAAATTTGAGCATATCGGATCATAGTTTCCTGAATTATGGCCCTTGATTGTACGAAAAATCGCGTTTTTAGCTTGTGGTCACTCTAGAGGTAACAATTTTTATCCGATTTAAAAAAATATATATCACCGTTACACCCGGAGTTCAAATTTCGTGAAAATCGGACCAAAATTGCCAGACAATATGGCCGCCTCTGATACGCAAATAGTATAAATATATTATATATCAAGGTTGTGGACCCTCTAGAAGTCACAATTTTTATCTGATTTTGATGAAACTTGAAATATATCTCTATATAACCCAAAGATCTTGGTTCTTGTCAATATTCACGCGTAACGGATTGTAACTTCCTGAATTACGGCCCTTGATTGCACAAAAGATCGCTTTTTGTTTTAGCTTGTTCTCTATCCATCTCTTGCAAAATGTGGGCGTATCCTGCCTGGAAGCCGCTGATTGTCAATAACCACATCATTTATGTTTCAGAACTAGAAAAATGTTCAACAAGTCTATGGTCAGAATGGAATGAATGTTCAAACCCTTGTGGAGCTGGTATGAGGTTACGACAGAGAGGATTAAAAAATTCTGCGGTTACTGAGTCTATGTGTAATGTTGACTTAATGGAAAAAGAAACATGTATTGGAGATTGTTCAAATATGGCAGGCAAAAGAAAGAAAATATCGGATGATTTTGAGTTTAAAGTAGACACATCAGCCCACAATGCTGACAACATTTGTGCCGTTACACCATGGTCAGAGTGGTCCCCTTGTAGTGCCACGTGTGGATTAGGAATGAAAGAAAGATGGAGAATGTTCTTGAGTAAATCAGAGAAAACATTATCCTGTGGTTTTCACTTGATGGAAAAAGATCTGTGTAGAGGAGAAATCTTTGATTGTAGGAAAGCTTTGATGATGAAAGATTTTTCTGGTAAGACTTATTCTTTATGTTTTATGGTTTAAAATTCTTTTATTAATTGTTCCTCGTGTTTAATGAATTTTAAGAAAATTTGCAACTTTGTAGGTATCTCCTCTTTTCTTTTTGTTTTTTTGTTGATAGTTATCAGGCACATAGTCATTACAATGTCCGGCTTATCTAATCTTATAGTATTCTGAGGTTATTGGTGAATCAATTAGTGATGGTCTGATAATCGGTTTCAACATCGGTAATTGGCCGATGATAAGTGGCCTGTCGGGAGAAATTGGTATCGGCCGTTACATGGCCATTTTGCCAATACTGGAGTTGCCAATATCTGTTCAAAACGACTCGGTAAATACCTTTAAAATATTATTCGAGTTGTGAACAAATCATTATTTTGCTTGACACAGGGTACATCTAAGAAGTCATGAGCATGGCAACCGAAATAAAAGGTTATTTCAGTTGCCATGCTTGTTGTGCTATTTAGATGTACCGGTAATAGTAATACAAGACTCTCATACAGGCCGTAAAAAGTAAAGAATAAACAGTACAAAATCCTTACCGGTCTCCTTTATCTAAATTGCCACGCGCACGGCAACCGAAATAAAAGTTTTATATTTCGGTTGCCGTGCACGTTGCTAATATAAGACCCTCATATAGGGGCCGTGAAAGGGAAAGAATAAACAACAAAATCCTTACCGATCTCCATTATTTTTAAACCTCCACATTTATAATGTGGACGTATATTGCCAGTCGCCCCTGTCTGTGTGTACGTGTGCGTTTGTGGATGGTCCTTCTTGAGGACACACATAATGATTTAAACCTATTTGCGGACATGGCCAGAACCGAGGATGTCCTCGATTTGATCTGGCAATCCAGGCATGCTCAGAAGCCCCAAAGTAGATATATCTGTAAAAATCACTTGATTATAATTCATACCTCGATAATACGGTTGTGTACCGTCAGGGTGTTTGGTGTGTTTAGCGTTTTTTATCAAGAAAAATTGTTGTGCTAAATTTAAGATGTCCTTGTTTATGCCAATTAATACAAGGTCCTCGGTTATATTAATGGTTACACAACACAAACACAAATGGTCACATGACAGTCAATTCACAGAGTGACGAAGTTTTGGTTCCTAGTATTAAATGCTGTGTCTTACATTCAGTAACAGATAAATGTGGTGACTTATAAATATACATGCCGTGTTTAACAGTACCAGATAAAAATGTTGTCTAATGTTACACATTTTAAGTAATGGCCATGTAATGAGTAATGGAAGATTTCAAAAGTAATGAGTAATGGAAATGTAAATAATTACATTCCCAAAATCATGTTATGGTTTTCAATTACATTTCAATTACTTTTCAATTACATTTTATGTCACATATAAATATTTCCAATATGACAAGCCTCAAATTTTATAGCACGAAAGAAGTAATTAAGTGTATCCAATTCATTATAATTTTAAAAAAAGATTTAAATCAGTTTTAACAAATTATAAGAAGAATAAGAAGGTGTTAAACATTTTCTTTTATTACTTTTTATATAGGACCCTTTTTTAAGACATGCAACATGTAAATTGTAATCAAAGATTAGTAGTAATTTGCAGCCAATCACTCAGTCAATCAATCAATCAGTCAGTTAGATTAAAAGACAATAAATAGTCTTACTGCACTTTAATCTTAATCTCAAGGTAACAAGTGACAAACCAAACAATGGCCTTCAAGTATCACATCATTTTATGGTTACTTAAAACTAATATATATTTTGGTTTTGAGTCATGCTGTATAAGTTATCATACAATATTTATAGACAAACTATTTGGATTGATTCAAAATTTAAAAAAAAAATACTTAAAAGAAAATACAGTTAATTAACTATACTTTTGATTCATTTTTCAAGTCATACAGTGAAAATGTCAGTTTTTGTCACCACTGCCCGTCAAAATAAAATTTGCCTTGATGTAATAATTGCTAGAAACAACAATTCATAGACAAATATCTATTAAGTGAATCAAGGATTATTTTGAGTTTGATTGGTAATGGTAATTAATTACTTTCAATGTAATGGGTAATGGTAATTAATTACATTTCTACAAATGAGAAAGTCATTGTTATGATTACATTTAAACAGTAATGGTAATGTAATTAATTACATTGGCAATGTAATGGCCCCTCCCTAGTTGTCTTACAGTAACAGGTACATGTGTTGTTTTACAATACATATCACGGACATGATGTTGGTCTTAGTAATAGATGCGTCAGTCAGTAAGAGATAACGGAGCAACGTATACATGTCGTGTATTGCAGTCAGCAACACTTGCATTTCTTAAGGTCAGCAACGGCTGCCAACAGTATCTTAGAATTCGTAACAGTTAAATGTCATGTGACAGCTACAGTCAGTAGCAGATGCACATACATGTTGGGTTGTACGGATAGTAATGGATACAAGTACACAGGGTGTCTTACAATCATAACTCAGTTACAATCTTACAATCAGTAGTAACAGGTGCATGCTGTGTCCTATGGTCAGTAACAAATAAACAAAGTGTAACAGGCTAACAGGGTGTCTTATCAATACATATACACGCTATGTTCTACAGTCAGTAACAGTTGCACGGCCTATTACAGTAACAGATGCACCGGGAATCTTAATCAGTAATTTATTCACATTGTGTATGTATATTATCTATTTAGGTTCGAATATACCATAAAGCTAGTTGGAGGATAACAACTGTTTATTCACTTGAACTGGCTACATAATACACATGTTTTCTAAAAACCCCAAAAGATGACCTTGACCTTATCAAGGCTGTATTAATATTCTGGAATAGTACACTAAAATTTGGGAACGGTACATATAGCATGAAACGTAATATTATGTCATATGTTTACATCTCCCCTTTTATGATATACTTTATAACTACTAGAACTAAATATAAAACATTTTCTAAAATGCTTATTAAAACTATTGTAATACTACTTGGACGGATTAAATAACAAAGCTGACTAGACAAACTAAATATGACGGAATAAGTTACACATCGTGTTTGTTATTTGGCTTTACAATGCGACCGGATCTGGTTTTAGTCGAATCGTTTTGAACAGGTTTTATAAATGATCTGTTTCGATGGAATTTTGAGCCATTATCATTAGATACAATATAAGATCTGGGAGTGTCAGCTTTATCATTTATTACAGCTGGGTTCCAAGTTTTGGAATTCTGATCAAATACAACAACTTTCTAATTTGGACTTAATTCACATTTATCATTATTAGTGTTTCTTTTATCATACTGATATTTTTGTATGTTTTGCCTTTCATGTAAATGATCTATATAATCATCATTAGTTTTGTTTCTTTGAAGTCTACCTATAGAAGGGACAAGAGTTCTATAATTGCGATTATTTAATAATACACAAGGAGCAGGGAGTTTATTATTAATAGGGGTGGTTCTGTAACTTAACAGTGCAAGATATACATCTTCATTAGCCGTTTCTGATTTTTTCAGTATAGCTTTTATAGTCTGAACCATTCTTTCAATAAACCCATTTGATTGAGGATATAAAGGTGAACTAGTAATATGCTCTATTCCCCACTGATCACTCTTTAGATTGTTGCTTACTAAATTGAATACATATGGAGCAATTTTTGCATAATGATTTTATATCATTTGAGATACCAGGCCAGAAAATACATTCTTTAGCCTTTAATAGACATTTCGCTGTACCTAAATAACCCTGATGGATAGTATCGAGCATTTGATTGCGTAATTTTGGAGGTACAATTATTCTATACCCTTTCAGTATAATACCGTTTTCAACCGATAAGCTTTCTCGATATGTCCAAAAGTCTTTTAAGTCAGAGGGACATTTATTAATAAATTTAGGCTAACCTTCATAAATCATAGCTTTGAGTTGAGCTAGTACAGGATTATCATTTGTCAATTGCCTAATTTCTTCTAGCTTTGCAGGGCTTGTTGGTAAATATTCAGTGACTAAATCAACATTGATCACTTGCATTTCATCATCAACAGTAGGCATGTCCATAGCACTGACACGTGACAATGCATCGGCTATGACATTATCTTTGTCCTTAATATAGCGAATTACCACATCATACCGTGCAATTTGCAACAATAGCCTTTGCAATCTCTGAGATGCATTCGAAATAGGGTTCTTCCAAATACTTTCCAAAGGTTTATGATCTGTATCTATAATTACATGTTTAAAATATACAAAGTGATGGAACTTTTTTACTGACCAGGCAATAGCCAAAAGTTTCCTTTCTATGTTACTATAACGCTTTTCCGCATCACTTAATGAATAACTACCATAACATATTGGTTTACCCTCTTGTAGTAACACACAACCTAAGCCTTTCAGACTAGCATCAGATTGAATTATGTTAGGTTTATTAGGATCGTAAAAGGCTAAAACAGGTGTATGTGTTATTATCTGTTTTAGTTTGTTAAATGATTGTTCATGATCCGGTTGCCACACAAAAGGAACATTGTGTTTGAGCAACTGCCTTATAGGTTCCGAAACTTGTGCAATGGCAGGTGAAAATCTATGTAGATAATTAATCATGCCTAAAAATGACTGGAGTTCTGCAAGATTATTTGGGGGTTTCATATCTATGATTGATTTTACTTTTTTATCATTGACTTTTAATCCTTCCTCTGTCCATTTGTGACCAAAGAATGATGCTTCCTTAACTTTGAACTGAAACTTTTCAGGATAAAACTTAACATCATTTTTACATGCAGTATCTAAAATATTAACAATATTAGTATCATGATCTAATTCATTTAAACCATATACAAAAGTATCGTCTGCGATACCGGTTAAACCGTTTAGTTTACCAAAAATATGATCCATTTTTTCTTGAAATATGTCTCCACTAACACTTAACCCATACGGTAATCGTGTCCAACGATATTTGCCCCATGGTGTATTGAATGTGCACAGTCTGCTACCCTCCTTCATCAAGTCGTACTTGCCAGTACCCGTT